AAAAGAAAACTGGCTCAAAGAGACCTAACTGCACATCAGAGTTGGTGTAATACCATAGAATTACGTGAGGTAACTAAAACACATTATTTTAGCAAATAAGATACAGCCTAAAGAAAAAAAACTGCAAGGAAGCCTTAAATTTTATTCACATGCCAGGCATGGTGGCGCACACCTGTAATTCCAGCACTTGGGAGGCTGAGGCAGGAGGATCATTTTGAGTTTGAGACCAGCCTTGGCTATAAAGTGAGTTCAAGGCCAATCTAAATTATAGCAAGACCCTGTCTCAAAAAGACCAAAAAAAAAAAATGTTATTCACAGTTTTGTTTTGTTTCATTTTGAGACAGGCAGGCTGGCCTTGAACTCAGTGATCCTCCTGCCTCAGCCTCCCCCCAGTGCTGGGATCATAGGCATGTACCACCATGCCCACCCTTTCACAACCCTTATATTTAGTAATTATATTGGTATTATTTAGGATAAAGCAAATGATTATGTCCCTATCCCTGGCAACTAAGATTTTCAGCATGACTAAAGATGCAATTTACAATTAAGGAGGTTAGGTAAATACAGACTTTATTTTTCTCTAGCTAAAAATGTATCTACTTCCTGGCTCTTTCCACTCAAAAAATCCTAACCTCACTGTGGACCCCCTGACCATGAGCACCCCTAATAGCCACACCATGGTGTCTAAACATTTCCTGGTGTCTTTCACGTTTCCTGTGAAAGAAACGACTTCTTTGAAAAATGACTTACACCACTTCTCAGGCTTAGGAGGGCACCAAAAAAGTCAGAGATTTTGAAATTCCAGAAAGCAAGGAAGCCACAAGACTATTGAGGTCAAAAGAACATAGGAGGGCCGGGGATGTAGCTCAGGGGCACAGCGCCGGCGTGGCAAGCGCTAGGTCATGAGTTCCATTCCTGGTACCAAAAAAAAAGAAAGAAAGAAAGAAAAAAGGACACAGGAGCCAACAGGAAGGTTGCCTACTGGCCACAGCCAAGACAGCAGCCTCAAAAAGAGTAACTGCAAAAAAAAAAAAAAAAGAGTAACTGCAGTAGAGTGATTATCCACAGCACACTAACAGTCCCTGCCCCAAGGAGATCTAGCACTGTGAATGCAACCTTGACCTTGGATGGCACAAAGGTGCTTTAAGGATCAGAGAAGTTAAGGAATGTGACATGATTATACTGCCTTAAGTGGGGGGATTCTAAATACAATCCCAAGTACCCTGGTAAGGTTGAGCATTTAAGACACAGAAGGGGCAAGGAATACGACCACAGGGGCAGGGACCACAGGGGCAGGGACTAGAGGGACACAGTCACACACCAAAGAAGGACCTGGGTTCAATTCGTAGTACAAAAAAAAAAAAAGAGGAAAAAAAGAAAAAGATCACAAGTTCAAAGCCAGCCTGGGTAACTTAGCAAGAACTTGTCTCAAAATTAAAAATTCAGAACGGGCTGGGAGGTAGCTCAGCAGCTAGTGCCTCTGGGCTCGAGCTCCCACACATAAGTAAACACATAAATAAACAGGGCTAAGGATGGAGCTCAGCACTTCCTGGGTTTAGTCCCCAGTAGTGCAAATAAAGAAAAAAGAGCCAAAGCACTAACCATACCTTTTCTGTGTGAATGCACCTCAGGGAAACCAAATACTTAATAAGAGGATGTTTTCATTGAAAAGTCCCAGCTAACAAAGCAGAAAGAATTACAGGAGCAGGTCATCACAATTTACTGGGCCCTCATGAAATATCAGTCTAACCAGTGGCTGTCAACAGCTGCTGTCCACACCAAACTAATTCACTTTCTCTCACTTTGCCTAAAGAGTAAAATTAGGAAGAAAAAAATATTTGGATGAGCACATTTGTTCGCAAAATACTGAATTTGCCCCTTGCAATCAAGAACAAGGCAAGGACACCACCTATCACTACTGCCTCTGTCCTTACACAGTACTGGACTGGAGGGCCCAGCCAGCCAGCGCAATAAGGCAAGAAAAATAAAAGAAAGGTAAGGATGAGAAGGAATTAATGAAACAGTCATTTGCAAATGAAATGATTATAAAGACAAAAAATCCGAAAAATGATCTACAGATCAATTATTAGAAATAAGGCTGACTGAGGTAACTAGATACAAAAATCAATATTTTTCAATTATACAAACGTTACCAGGAGCTATGCCAGTGATGCTGGGCCTTTGGCACGTGCGCCGCAGCGGGCTGTTTGTTGTCACTGAAAGCTCTGAAGTGTTCACCATCCCTGATCCATACTCATGAACAAACGCCTCCAAATATCTGAGGGGATCTAACAAAAAGTATGACAGAGGCCAGGTGTGGTGGTACACACCTATAATCCAACCCCGGCACTCTGGGAGGCTGAGTCAGGAGGGTCACAATTTAACAACTTGGTGAGACACTCCCTCGAAATAAAAAATAAAAACAGGCTGGGGAATGTAGCTCAGTATGAAGTTCCTGGTTTCAATCTCCAGTACCACAAAAACAAAACAAAACAAAAAAAATATGATAGAACATTATTGAGGCCCTAAATAAAATCCAAGTAAATGTAGAGTTATACTCTGTTCATAGACTGGAATACTATTTATAAAGATGCCAGCTGTCTCTAAATTGTTCTATAAAAATTATTATACATTATTAGCCTGCATAAAAATTACGAACCTCTTTGTTCATCAAAATAGTACAACAGTGCATAGGCCAGCTACTGAGTGGGAAGAGGTTTCCAAAACATAAAACCCACAAAGAGTTCATATCTAGACTATGTAAAGATCTCCTGAGCTGGACACATGGTGCAGCCTGTAATCCCAGCTGCTTAGAAGGCTGAGGCAGGTGGATCGCAAGCTCAAGGTCAGCCTAGGTAACATATCAAGACCCTGGCTCAAAATAAGAAAATAAAAAGGGTTAGGAATATAGCTCAGTGCTCTCTGGGTTCAACCCCCTAGTTTGCAAATACATACATACATACATACATACATACATACACACATACACACACATACTCCTGGAAATCAACTGGAGCAGCAGAAAAATGGAAGAAGACAGATGAACGGGCAAATGACCACAGGGAAGCACAAACGACTAGTAACCACATGAAAAGCTGCTCAACCTCAAGGAAATGCAAACAAAAATCACAGAGATGTCATAAGAAGTTATAGCCACTTTGAAACACCAGTTGGGTTTCGTATTCTCTAGTAAAGCCTACGAGAACAGCAAGCAGAACAAGAACATGCCTGGGTAACTACCCGTGCTATAAGCAGTGTGTGTGTGTGTTTGCTTTTGCATGTGAACACACGTACGTGTGTGTGTGTGTGTATGTGTGAGTGTATGAGAGAGAGAGAGAAAGTAAGACCCCAAACTAGAAATTACTAATACCCATTGAATGTTCAAACAGGTTGTGGTGGATTGATTCAGTGAAAACATAACAATGAAAACGAATGAACTACTGCTACACAAAACTGCATAGAAGAACCTTAAAACAATATCGGGCCAAATAATACAGACCCAAAAAAGTAACACAGTATTTAATTCCATTTATAAAAGTGCAAAGAGATGCGACTGAATTACACCGGAGATGCAGAGTGCAGCTGCAAAGTCATCTATCAGGGAGAGAGAATGGGGGCGGGGCTCTTCCAGGAGAAGACCCGAGGACGCTTCCGGGAAATGACCACTTTCAACTTCTAAACCTGGCTGGGTGTTGCATGGGTGCCAGAGTTATAATAACTTATTAAATTGTACATTTATGTTTTATGGGGTTTTTTTTTGGGGGGGGGGGATTGTACCAGGAATCAAACTCAGGACCCTTCGCTTCTCAGGTGCTGTGTCGCTGACCTCTATCCCTGGCCATGTACATTTACAGTTTATACTTTGGGTAACACCTCATTTACAATAAGCAAAGTAGGTAGTGAAAAATAGTAGTCGCAGGGGCAGGAACCTCCCTCCCCAGAGCTTCTGATGTAAAGGTCTGCAGGGAGCAGCCCAGGCACTGGGGTCTTTCAAAGCACCCTGGGGATGCGAATGGGCAGCCAGTGCGAGCCGCGGCCCGGGCGGCAGGCTGAGGATCTGTAAGAGAAGGGGCTGCTCTCAGGAGCTCCCCTCACCAGCGTCAGGACCTCCGACAGCAGGAAGTGCACAGCACTGCTAGGAAGACACCCCCCCCCTGCAAAACCTGGCTCCAGAACTGGTAAAAGCCCAGGAGCTCAACTCACACTTCCCCGGAAGTACAGGGGCTGGAGGAAGGTAGTCCTTGCACTGGGAGTGGGGCAGCAACCCGGACTGGGAGACCACAGGAGAACCTGGTGTCTTCCACAGATAACTCACATCAAGGGGGGTATTGGAAAAGGTTTAAGAAACACAGTAGCAAATTGCAGCGTGAGGGCATATTCTAACACTAATTCAAACAAGCCAATCAAAAGAGACGTCTGCGAGGCAGAGGAGTGTGAACACATGCACTGGGTGCTGGATGGAATCAGAGGATGCTGGCTGTGTTCTTCTCATGCCCGTATTATATAGTAAGGCTCCAGACTGAAGCATTTATGGAGAAGATACTACGTCCCGAGGGAGAAGGGGAGAGGTAATCAAAGAAGATGGCAGATGTGGGTGACCAAGGCCGGGGACAGCACACATGTGTTATAGTGCTGTCCACTTCCGCGTGTGCTTGGCCGTTTTCCTAATAAAGCACCCTGACATCCTGTGGTTGCCCCTCTCCCCAGGGAGCTCCCACTGGGCCCATGAGCAGGATAGGGCCCATGCTGTGTCCTGACCTCTGCTCCCGCCTCCCACTCCCACAGGGCTGCCACCTTCGTCAGTGCAGCTCCTCCTCCCAGATCGCAATCCCCCATCCTGCTGCTGCACAGACTCGCCCGAGGGCTGCCTGCCTGCGCCATGTGCTGAGCTCTCCCTGCCTTTCCTTCCAGCGCCAGCCTGATACCGCGGGCATGCATCGGGGTGACTCTGCGTGCGGCCTGGTTCCCCTCCCCTGGAGTCTCCATCGTCTGCTCCACCGTGCAGTCTACCCCATGTATGACAAGCTGGGTGACCCTGAGCTTGTCACACCTCTGGGCCTCGATCTCCTCATCTGCCGGAGGGATGATGGTGACAGACCTCCTGTAAGGTCGCAGGACATCAACCACAGCCAGGCAATGTATGAACTCACTGAATGTCATGTGAATGAATGTATGAATGAACGAATGAACGAATTAAGGGGTGACTGAGTGAGTCTCGGAGCAAACTCCCTAACTCCGTATTGGGAAGAGAAAAATAATAAGGCAAGTCAATTGCGGGATCTCAAGTCACCTGCTCTAGTTCTGCAGTGGAGTCCGGGGGCAGAGGGCGCCACCTTGTGGCCATTTGGGGAAGTACAGGTGCAAGCCTCTATCTGGGCGCGGAGGGCGGACCCACCCGACCAACAGAAGGAAGCTGCAGCTTCCCACCCTGGCCTCTCACTTTCCTTCCCCTCCACCCAGCAGTGCACAGCCAAGGGTCCCCCAGCCCTGTGAGAGAAGGCCAGCACTTGGCCCTCAGTCCTGGGCCAGCAGCCACCAACAGTACAGAACGGCTGGGGACACAAAGGGAGTTGGCACGGGCTGCTGGATGTCAGGTTCGCGGGCCATGATATTCACTGTGACCAGGGAAAGCTCCCTAACTGCTCTGGGCTGGGGGGCGGGGTGGGGGGGGCGACAGCGGTGCCTGCCTTGTAAGGCATCTGTGAGGAGAAAATGAATTCAACCCTAAAGCACGGAGCAGGGTCCCTGGCACACAATTAAACACTCAGTAAACTTTAGCTGCTGGTATTACTATTAGTACTAAAAATGTCACCCCGACCCGGCCCCCCATAGATGGCTGCGCATAGCCGGCACCGATGCACGCCCCGAAGCCTCCACCTTCACCGCCCGCTCCCCTTGTTCTCACCGTGTGTCCGCCTAATCCGGGCCTGCCACTTGCAATTTTCTGCCTAGAGCGCTCTTCCCAACTGCTCCACCTAGCACTGCCCAGGACCCATCCCGCCCCCGCCGCAGCGCCCTTTCCTGTCCCCCCCCCCCCGCCGCCCCCGTTTCCAATGACACATTCGGGTGGCTAAGGGGTAAACGTCCTGCTGCGCCAGGCTGGGCACTACACGGGGAGGAGGGACCGGTGTCAAAGAGGCGCTTGAGGAAGGTGGACTAAAACCGAACACAGCCCGACTGCCCTGCCTGACTGTCCACATGCAGTTCCCTTTGCCTGCTGCACCCCTCCTTACAGGCAGGGTCAGGAGGACCCTGGATCCCAGGATCCCACCGGACTGGCATCCAGGAGTCCAGGACTGGCTCGGGCACCACTGTGTCACTAGTCCTTCCCAATAAAAGACAGGCTCGTAATGGTTAGGGTGAACACAGCCAGGCGTGGTGGCGCACGCCTGTAATCCTAGCACTCAGGAGGCTGAGGTAGGAGGATCCTTCCAAGTTCGAGACCAGCCTGGGCTACAAAGTGAGCTCAAGGCTAGCCTGAACTGCAAGACCCTGTCTCAAAAAGAAAAAAAAAAAAAAAAAGGAAGAAAGAAGAATGATTAGGGTGAACGCAGGACTAGAGTCCTCCATGGGCCAAAATACATGGGGTCCCCAAAGCACAGGATGGGTTGCCCCCACCCTGTCACAGTCAGACTCACTGCTCCCGCAGGTGCCAGATCTCAGTGTCCCGTGTGTCCCTCGTGTCGCGGACATCCAGCCCGCGGAGGCGACTCAGCTCCTCCTTCAGCGATCGGATGATGCCCTGCAGGACCACAGGGTCTGGCTTGCCCTGGTACGGGAGGGGCAGCGGGTAGTGAATCCTGAGGAGAGGGATTAGAACCGAGGCGTCTCAGAGGCCAAGAAACCACTCAGGGCAACAATCAGGTTCTGAAGGCCATAGAACACAAACAATCAAGGTCCCCAAACCTGACATTCTGGCTCCCATTTCAGTCACTGCCCTTGTCCCCCACGTCCCCCCTCTACCAGCCCTTTAGCTCTGGGAGCTGCTTACACAGCAGTTCTTAGGACACAGGGACAGACAGGCCTGGCACTGTCTCGAGCAACCTCCTTGTCACACACCACTGGCAGAGTGGACACTGGGGTCATGTGACCTGCAGCCCAGCACGACGCTAGTCCAGACTCCTCATGGGGAGATTCTGGTGGGCCTGACTGGAGTCAGCCGTAGGCTGGGGAAAGGCAGGGCACCTGCATTAGGTGCCCCCCAGGTGTTATTCAGAGAGGCTGGGTCACTTCCGTTAGAAACTCCAGGAGCTACCACCAAGCAAGTCAGACACTGTCCCAGCTACCCCAGACATCCCTCTTCCTCCCCTGCTGCCTCCCACTAGAAAGGGTAGCAAGCCAGAGACTCATTTTCCCAGCATCCTTTGCATGTGACCACTTTTGGTCAAATATTATGGGAAATCTGTCAGGAGTCTTCCGGGAACACTTTTGTTTTCCCGATAAAGCCAGCCCTGCCCCCCTTCTTCCTGCTTTGATACAGACGCAGTGCCTACAACTCTAGCAACTGTTCTCATGAAGTCAAAAATCCAACACCTCAGTTAAATATATCAGAAAAAAAGAAAAAAAATACAACTAAGAGCCTGAGTCCCTAACGAAACTGCTATACAGCAGCTACCTGGACACCTTATGAAGTGATAAATTATTATCTGTTTAAAGCACTAGTAACAGTTACCCCGCTAGTGGTAGCAAAACACAATAGTAAGTGATATAAGCTCCCACCCAGAGATTACAAAAGAATGCATAAAGGGTACCCACATTACCCCAATACCAGGGCTTTGTCCCACAAGCCCTCCCTGTACCCACCTGTCAAACTCCACAGAATAGATGAGGATCAGGTAGCGCTTGGAGTTGAGCTGGGCTGACCTGGGGGCCAAGGTGCCCGGGCGGCTGCCCAGCTTGCGGTTCCGCAGGGACTCCAGGTCCGTGTAGGTCAGCAGGTCCAGGGTGACTGACTCGCTGCTCTGTGGGACAGGAGGAGCGGGGCAGCCTCGGGACCCACATGGCCACGCCCAGAGCACCCACCACATGCGCAGCCCGGGACGCCTGGCCTCCCCACCCTCGGGCTGATGATCACCAAGACCCGGTCCTGGGACAGGCGACAAGGACATGTTCAGAGGGATGAGCTGAAAGAACCTAAGCACGTGACTGTGGGGGTATCTTGGACCTGTGGCTCTCCATGTGCTGTCTGTAAGCCACTGGGGGACCTCTCAGGGAGTCCCTGAGGTCAGAACAACTTTCTTAATACCAAGACATCAGGGGCCTCTTTCGCTGTGGTGACAGCCACGCTAGTGGCACAAAAGCACAGCTGGGTCAACCTGAAGGTGCCTTAGCAGAACACAAGCCAGGGCACAATGGTGCCAGCGGCCACTGCAACTGCCACAGGCTCCGTAGGGAGGGGGAGGAGGGAGAAATAAACAAACCAACAAATCCAAGACAGGAAATGAAACAGAAATGTTCTTTTGGCTTTGTTTTGTTTTTTTGCTTTTTTGAGACAGGGTCTTGTTATGTAGCTTAGGCTAGCCTCGAACTCACAGCAACCTTCCTGCCTCCGCCTCCCAATTGCTGGGATTACAGGCATGTGCCACTATAGCTTAGAAATGCTCCTGATGGAAGAGTACAAGGTATTAATTTAGTGACTCACAACCCTGGAGTAGGGCTGGGGATTTAGCTCAGCAGCACAGCGCCGGCCTGGCAAGTACAAGGTCGTGAGTTCGATTCCCGGTACCGGAAAAAAAAAAAAAACCCTGGAGTGCACATTTCACCACTAGTATGTACAAGACAGTGGGAAGGACACAGAAAGCACTTCTGCTCACACCAAAGGAGGGCAGCAGCTCAGCAGTGAGCACCGGCACCACCAAGTTCTGAGCCAGAAGAGCCTGTTCTTGAAAGATAACACTGACAGTCAAACTACAGTTACTCAGCCTTGGGTATCTGGCAGGCATTTTCTCAGAAATGAACAAAAGGAGCCTGTCTCTTCAGAAAACTGCTAACGGGATACGTTGTTGGTGATATAATGCAAGCCTCACACTTGAATTTGAATTTAAATTTTGGAAAGTATGCGACTGTCACTGGGTACCTGATGGCTTCTCAATGTCTAAAACTCTGCTGGGGAAATCACTGGGGACAGTAATGAATGTCACTCTCAAACACTGTATAATGAAATGGGTCAACGTTCAGAGTATCAGTGCAACTCAGTGAGCCAGGGTTTCCCAAATGGCCAGTGCATGATGTCACCAAATCATACAGGGGTGACAGATCCACATAAAGTATAAGACATGTCCAGGGGTTTTAACGTACCAAGAGGAGTTCACACTGCCACTGACTGTCAAGAAATTACACTTGTCCAGTTTTAGCGTGCCAGTAAATACAATTATTTGAAAAAGCTATTACCGCACTTCTTTTTCCAGCTGTGTATCTGTGTGCGGCAGGAATTTTCTACATATTCTTCAACCAAAACTTACCACAACAGGCTGAATGCAGAAGCACACAAGGCTCCAGCAGTTTTCTACTTAAGCCAGACATTTTAAAAAACTGCAAAAATGTAAAACAATGCTATACTTCTTATTAATTTTTTGTTTTAGGAAATATATTTTTCATTACAATCATATTTAGGTTAAATATAACAAGTTTACTACAGTTATTTCTAAATGAATTCATAAATATCTTTAAACTTTGGTTTTAGTTTCTAAAACGGCAAATAAAAGAAAATTTTTGAGACGGTCTTTTTTTTTTTTTTTTTTTTGGTTTTTTTTCCAGTACCGGGAATCAAACTCACGACCTCGCGCTTGCCAGGCAGGAGCAGTGCCACTGAGCTAAATCCCCAGCCCCTTGAGACAGGGTCTTGATATGTAGTCCAAGCTGGCTACTATGTAGCTGAGGGTGGCATCAAACTTGTGGTGACCTCCTGTCTCGGCCTCCCAAGTATTGGGATTATAGGCATGCGCCACCATGCCTGGCTTATGGCAAATAGATATTAATAGATATAATCTCCATAAATAAAAGCCCTCTTGTGTCTTCAATAATATTTAAGACTATAAATGGGTTAATGAGACCATATACAGTAGTTTGAGAAGCACTGGGTTAGATGCATGATGATGAATGTGTACAATGAAATAGTAAGCAACCACTAACAAATAGGATGAACTCAAAAGCAAATAATAATGAAAACAGAACCTATATAGCAGTTATTATTCACCAGACCTATACCAAACTTTTTATACAAAATAACTCATTTAATCTTCAGAATATTATTAAGTGGGAACTAGTACTATTCCCAGTTTACAGATAGGAAGGTACTGGCTCAAGGTTTCCAGCTAGAAGTAGCAGGGATGGGTCTGAATTCCCAGTTTGAATTCTGGGCCATGAGGCTTGTTATCCTGCCCATAGATTCTAAAAGATTATACCCTGGGTAAAGGATAAAAGTGGGGCTGTAAGAGACTGTCACTTTCTAAGCCACACATTAATTTAATATCTTCAGTATTATGAGGGCGTATTTTATCTGTAACCAGACAATATACTCATAGTTATAACAGTAGTATCTAAATATCATCCTTGTCTCTCCAAGTTTCTAATCTGCCTTTTTCCCATAATAGTTTTAGCTACTTGACATAAAAATTTTTTCCAATCTGATTGAAGAAAAATAAATATATAAATAAAAATAAAATTTTTTTCCCATGTTCTGTGTCTCTCATTAAAATGTCAACCACATGGGGACAGAGATTTTGTCTCTATGGTTCACGGAAATATCCCCCGTGTCCACAATACTGTAGTTGCTTAGCAAATGAAAGCCATGAATACTCAGACTCACTGCTGTAACTGAATTCTTATAAAACATAGTTGACTAGCCGGGCATGGTGGCACAAGCCTGTAATCCCAGCACTCAGGAGGCTGAAGCAGGAGGATCGTTGCGAGTTCAGACCAGCTTGGGCTATAAAGTGAGCTCAAGGACCATCTGAACTTCATAGTGAGACCCTGTCTCAAAAAAAAAAGAAAAAAAAAAAAAAAACCACATGGTTGACTCTTTTTCAAGCAGGTTGCAGAATACCTTGGAAAGTTTATCAACTATGTCACTGGCCGAGGCAGGAGGATTGCTGCAAGTTGGAGGCCAACCTGGACTTGCATAGTGAGCTCAAGATCAGCCTGAACTACATAGTGAGACCCTGTTGAAAGAAAGAAAGAAAGAAAAAAAAGAAAAGAAAAGAAAGAAAAGTAAAGAAAGAGAGATAGATGAAGAAGAGGAAGGTATATCAACTATAGGTAATTAGAGATCTGCAAATACACACACGTGCACTCACACACACAGAGAAACGAGGAAATGGCTGGAGTGACTTTCACCAAAATATTAACAAGCACACACATGGGCAGTGGAGTGATGTTTACCTTCTTTTTTACATTTCTCTGTGGTCTGAGTCATCTACATGAAAATAACTATTATCAGAACCAGAATTAGCCATTTACATTTAAGAAAGAAGAAAAAGCCCTATCCCTTAAATGAAAGGGAAAGCAGAGGGGCCTGCAAATATTGATGGTGACCCATTCCAGGAATTTGGGGACCAGAAACCTCCCCAACCCCAACCCTGTCCCTACCTGGGTGAGGGCCGACTCCAGCATGTTGCAGAAAATGCTGAACTGTTTGAAGTTCCCTGTCTTGTGGGTCAGATCTTCAATGACTGGGTGGGAAGGAAAGTCCCTCCTGAGGTCTGACCACTTGCCAGGCCAAAGGCCAACACATCCAAGTTCTCCAACTCTAGGGCCTGTGCCTAGGGAATGAGGCCTCCTTCCCTACCCCAACCCCCAAGCACAGCTCTGGTCAAACAGTAGAGGCAAAGAGGGTAGGATTCCAGCTGGCCTCATCTTTTTTTTTTTCTCTCAAACCAGAGTCTCGATATGCAGTTCAGGCTGGCCTTGAATTCACTTTGTCGCCCAGGTTGGCCTCGAACTCATGGCAATCCTTCTGCCTCAGCCTCCCGGGTGCTGGGATTACAGGAGTGTGCCACCACATTTGGCTGGCCTCACCTTCTTGGGGAAGCTGACCCCAGGAAGGAGAGCTGAGCCCACCCCAGGCAAGCACTCTGGCACTCACAGCTGGCATCAAATTCGCCCCGCCACTGGTCAGCTGTCATCCGGTCCTCCACTTCCAGCTCCAGCACCTGCCCGGAAACCACCACGCGCACGGCATGCTCCACACCCCGGAAGATGTAGTCCACCTGCAGGCCAGCTGGCTGGTCCATGGCCAGGGTCACTGGAATAGGGGATAAGACAAGGGACCAGAGGGGCTGAGAGCCCAGGCTCTAGAGCTAAAAGACCAGGATTCACATCCTGGACCCATCATTCATCAGCTGTAGCACTGTGGGAAAATGGCTTCACTGCTCTGTGCCCGTTTCCTCATCTGGAAAATGGGTATAATAATAGCACAGACTTGTTCTGAGGATTAAATTGGACAATATACATAAAGTCTCTAAGAATTATGTCCTACACATTAATTACTATGTCCAACACATGCTGATCACCAAGAGAATCATGATTCATACCGCTGATTATTATCCATTCACGCATTTGTTCATCCAGCAGACATCTGTGGTAAAAATCAAGCTAGAGAGGAGGACAGGGAGCACAGGGGTCAAGAAATCACAGTGGGCCTCTCGGAGGAGGTGACCTTAGAGCAGAGAGCTGAGGGAGGTGAGAGCACAAGCCATGTGCTCCAAAGCCAGGGAGCAGCCAGGGCTAAATATCACCCATGATGCACTGAATTAATCACTGACTGGATGAATGAGTCTGTTGTATGCATAAACAACTTCTCTTAGGCAGCAGAGTTACTACCCACATTACTTCTACAAGGAGCTGGAAGAGAGAATCGGGCCTCTGCTGCCCACCCAGGTTCATCCGCATGTGAACGGGCAAGTTACCTAACCCTCCATGAGCTGCTCTGTAGCCATAAAGCAAGAGCCATCCTGGGTGGGGAGCTGATGAGAAACCAGGCCACGCCCCTGCTCTCAGGAAAGGCGTAGTCACAAGGATAAACAGGTACACCGCCAGGTGTGGTGACACGCTCCTGTCATCCCACTACTCTGGGAGGAAGAGACAGGAGGATCCCAAGTCCAAGCTCAGCCTGGGCAACTCAGTGACTCAGCAAGAGCCTGTCTCAAAACTAAAAATCGAAAAAGGGCTGGGATGTAGCACAATGTGAAGGCCCTGGGTTCAACCCACAGTAACACACACACACACACACACACACACACACGTGCGCGTGCAAGTCACATCGTGGAAAAAGAGGATATGGAGGGGAAGGAGCTGCTCTCTCAGCCAAGGTGGGAGGGAGGCGCTGAATAAAGGAGCTGAATATCAGAAGCAGGTGCCCAGGCTGTGGGAACGGCCAGGCAAAGACTCCAGGTGGGATTTTCCTGTTTCTTTTTTTGTTTTGTTTTTTTGTTTTGTTTTGTTTTGTTTTTATAAAATTAGCAAGAAAAGGGCTTCTGTCTTGGGTCCCACAGCTGCTCCAAGCACAGAGCCACCATCCCGGCACAGGGACCCCTCCTCCACGCCCCCTCAGCTCTAGTCCTCCACTTTCCCCAGGAAGCCTTTCCTGGAGTCTAACACTGCAAAACACACTGTGTGACAAGAAACACCAGCCCGAAACTCTATGACTTTAACCTCTTCAGAGACCTTCAGCCTTTGAGAATTAAATGAAATTTCTGAACTATTCTCAGACAAACGAACGGGCTCACAACCCTTCGAAAATTACTTCAGTTAATCCCGGACCCCCTTTCTCAGGAGCCCAAGGACCCCCTGGTCTCCACACGTCCTGTCAGGCAATTCTCTGCCTCTAGATCTGAGCTCTTATCTTTATTTGGAGGGAGCCTTTCTATGCTGCTTTTGGGACGGGCTCATGAAGCCTGGGAAGTCCCCTCCCCTGGAAAACGCGCACTCTTGCAATTATGCTTTCATTCTACGGGGGTTAAAGGGGTTTAATAATCCTAGGTCTCGGGGCTGGGGATTTAGCTCAGTGGCAAAAGCGCCTGACTGGCAAGCGCAAGGTCGTGAGTTCGGTTCCCGGTACCGGAGAAAAACCAAAAAAAAAAAAAAAAAAAAATCCTAGGTCTCGCTGCAAACAGACTGCTGCACATTGCAACAAATATGTCACTCCCGGGTGCCCAGGACCGTGCCTGGAAGTGCTGCCCCGCTCCACCGCCAGTGTTCTAGACTCCACCCGCTGCTCCTGCCCCTCACATTCTGCGAGCCAATCAGCGGCCGCGCCGTCCCGGTTGCCAAGGCGCGGGAGGTAACTAAGGAGTTGGAGGGCCCAGCGGAACACCTGAGAAGCAGAGAGGCATCACCGCCCCCACTCACGGCACCCGAGGAGGAAGCGGGTCGGCCACACTCCATCCCTACCGCCCACCCGGCCCTGCCCTCCTCTTCCCACGCCACGGCGTAAGCCCCCCATTCTCACCCGCGACAGCAACGGCTCATCCCCCACTTCCACTGGCGAACTTGGCTCCAACCCAGCCACCTGGGTCTCAGGCATCCGGCCTCGGAGGTATCTGCTTGAATTCAACTCTTCCATTCACACGCACGTGCACACACACATACACACTCACACACACACTCACACACTCACACCTCCTCCTGCCTCTCCGCCCATCCCCTTCGGGAGGCTTATGCTGAGTGTTTCCTGATTGCTGACGAGCGAACCCCGCGCTCCAGCTAGCCCGACCTCCTCCCTGCCCGGCGGGCCACGGATCCCCGGACCCCGCTCCTGCAGGGCCCCCTCCCTGCACACTCCGGCTGTGCTCCCCTGTCCCCCTCGCACCAGCCTCTCCCGCTACGGCCCCTATCTCCATGCGGCTCTCCCAGGCTGGGGGCTGCGGGGGTACTGCTTCTCCCTGCCCGGCCCCCATGTTCTCCCAGGGGTCCCCGCATATTCTACTGAAATCCGCCCCCCATCATTCTGCCACAATTCTGCCCGCATATGTATTTGTTTAAGGTTCTCCTTAGCCGCGCACACCTCTCTTCTCGCCCGTATTCCATTCCCCCCATATTTCACCTGGATTCCTTCCAGAGCCCCTCCCCTCGCGCACACAGTTCCCCCTCTCTTCCCTGCGGAGACCCCCTCCTGGAGCACCTCCCCCCGCGTCTGGGATTTCCCCCGGCCCCTCCCCTCCTGACCCTGCCCCTCTACCTGCACCCTCCGCCCTCGCTCTGTGACCGGCGTCCCATCCCGGTCGCTGCTTGCGCTCCCGCCCCAAGTCTCTCCCAGCTGTTTCTGCGCCTCGGCCTCCGGACCCGGCCTTCCCAGGCCTTCCAAGCCCCGCCCCTGCCAACCCGTGACGTCACGCCCAGCCCCGCGCCTGCGGACGCCCCAGCGCCCCATTCTGGCCCACATAACTGACACCAGTTTTCACATCAAGACTCCAGCTCAGGCGCACTCAATCTCCCCAGCCCCAGCCCTCTCCCTGTCGCCTTTCACTAGGTGACCCCTTCTGCTCTCCACCGCCCCTGGCTCCTCCCTTCAAACCCGGCTCCTGGGAGGCTCAAGACCTCACAGCCCCCACTCCAGGGCTGATTCTCCCTTCCAAGCCGGACTCCTCAAAGACAAATCCACCACCACCTCGCACAGCGGACATGGCCAAATCACCAGCACTGGTAGCCTCCTTAGTGGCTGTCTGCCCACGCCCTGCAGAGCCACCACCACAGACTCCAGACCAGGCTGGCGTACGGCTCCCGCCCATGTGACCTCGTTTCTAGCAAGCAGGCCAGGTGCGGAGGGGCGGAGCTGTTCTCATCATTCTTGTACTTTCAGTCCCCTGTCCTGACACAGTGACTAGCAGTGTAATGGGAGATGCCACGCATGGCGGGGGGGCGGTCACAAGCACTGAGGAGACAGCCAAAGTCTTCCCCCCAGCTCCCTCCTGGTCACCCTGCAGGCCGCAGCTCCACCCCCTCCTGCCGGTAGCCCCACTCCCAGACTGGGTCACCAGCATCCCCAACACGGTTCAGCAGAGCCTCTGCCACAGAGGAGGAGCTTGATGACGAATCAGTCAAGTCAGTTCCCTCCAGCCCAAACTCTGAACCAGCCTGTTACTCAGAGAACGGACTGCAGAACATCACCCTGACCACGGGCACTGTTCCTGGGCCTGGTCTCCAACCTGCGGAAGCCTAATTGGGAGTTGGGGGCAGGAATGCAACTTCCTACAAGCTCCTTCAGGCACTAAATGTGAGACCCTCGCTGGGCATGGTGACGCACACCTGTAACCCCAGCACTAGGGAGGCTGAGGCAGGAGGATCATTGAGCGTTCAAGACCAGCCTGGGTTACAAAGTGAGCTCAAGGTCAGCCTGAACTGCATCGCGAGACCCTGTCTCAAAAAGACAAAAAAACAAAACAAAAACAAATACATTTGAGACTCTCTTCCCTTAGGCACCACAATCTGTCCAGGTTACTGTCTCACCCTGACCCTACCAAGTGACACAAGACCCTCCCAGCTCAGCATACCATAGGGAGACCCAAGGAGGGGCGGTAGAGATGGCAGTGACGGTAAACCTTTTGGAGCTTTCAAAGACAACAAACGGCCAGCTGTAGCCCAGCGTCATGGGTTCACTGCCACTTGCACAGAGGATGCTTTGTGCACCTACGTGCCCTTCTGGTGCCACATAGAGCCAGTGGAGTGGACAGGTCTGAGAAGCCCAGCAGACACAATCTATTTCAGGTAGTAGTGTGAGAAAAATTAAGCCAGCCGAGGAGCTAGGCAGGGCCAGGAGCTATGCTAGCTTGAGTGCTTAGCAAGGGCTTGTCTGTGACGTTGACATGTGAACAGAGACCTAAAGGAGAGGAGGGAGAAGTCACACAGACAAGGAGTACAACGGCTCTCAGATGACGAAGTGCTTGCTGCATCCACAGGACAGCGAGGGAGCCGTGGTGGCTGCAGCAGTGTGAGCAAGGGGGATGAGGAAGTGGGTGAGAATCGAGGGGAGAGAGAAAGCTGGATCACTTGGGGGCTTTGGGGGCACAGTGGGGACTCTTGCTGAGTGAGGCAGGGGCCAGGAGGGGGAACATAGCAGCAGTAGGATCTGACAGTGGGATCAAGGCCACTGGCAGGGAGCCCAGTAAGGTCACTCCAACAGACTAGGTAAAAACAGGAGACAGAGCTGGGTGTGGTGGGACATGCTTGTAATCCCAACACTCAGGAGGCTGAGGCAGGAGGATCAGGATCGTTGGGAGTTCGAGACCAACCTGGGATACAAAGTGA